TGGAAGTATGAATGTGTTGCTCTGCTTAATACCAAACCCATTTAATTGCAAAAAACCGAAGGTACCTAGTTTCGTAAACGGGAAGATAAATTCTGAACTTACCGCAGCATCGTAGACTTCGTTGAATGTGTCGTACTCTTCCCAGCATCGCCACACCTGTTTACTCTGAATTGTGCATTACCTCAGCTGATAAGCTTAGATACCTCTTATTTCTCAGCCAGTGTACATTGTTCAAACGGGTATCCCCATTACTATTGCAATTGTACTACGAGCATTTACTAAATAAACACTGGATATTCCAATGCATCACTAAAAGCACAATATAATACTTTTTATCCACTGAAAGAAACAATCTTTGGAAAACATTTGCAAATAAAACTTCGAATTTTTCGAAGAAAAATCACAAAATGGTGTGAGATAGTTATGAATATGGGTGCATGCGAATCCATAAAAGAAAAAGTGCAAAAAATTTGTACAGATGGTGAGATTGATAGATTAACTTCAACTCAGTTGAAACAAAACTATGAAATGCGCTAACACATAGACGAGATAGGAATAATTTGAGAAATAGAGATTTGAAAGAGGTGAGACCTGTTACACCAGATTCAACTTCACCAATCCGCTGCTTTGATAAGGCTGCTGAGGAACGACAGACTGCGAACGCTGGACACCCATCACCTGCTGTTGAGCTGGTTGCTGTTGCATCCATTGCGTCGCCGTGCTCATTCCAGCATAGGGAGCATCTAAAACGGTAAGTGATAAGCTTTACTGCACATATTAAAGCAACTGCGTTATCGATAGATAAGGCGTAGCTGAGATTTTTGCACAAAAACGAAAGACCCATTTCAGAAAGATGAGGTAGTGTATGTGTTACCTCATAGTCGTCAGTACGCGTGATGTTGATGTCTATCATTACCGTGACTCTTTCCCGCCATGACGCGCATGAGATCGAAATCTTTTCCGAATTACCAGCATTTAGCAAGAGTTGCTTTTGTAAAAATTTCTTATAAAAGTCATTTCTCTTTTCTTCACAAGATATGTTGGTTGTTGTTAGTTTTCTTCTCAGACCCCTGTTTATCCATTTTTGGGGAACCTTCGTTAACATGGCTGAGGTCAAGTAAACCAAATGTGTAGTGAAAATTCGAAATATGAAAGGAGCTGCAAAACCTGCACTCGAAAGAATAGAGTGGAGCAGAAAAATTTCATGATGACTATCACGCGTCAATTACTTTACTCCAAAGTTTTAGTGTAGTTTCGTTGAGTGGAATTTTTTTTTCCAGCGTCATCCACAAGCACATTTTGACACGAGTGGCAATACTGCATGATTCACTAGAAAGGATTAGCCAAAAGAGAACGCGCTTATGCTGGTTTTGACCACACCAAATCTTTGTGTTTCTCAGATTACATGTGTACTTAGAGCTCGCGAAATTGTTCCGCAGAATTTTTCTTGTCGAAAGAAAAGATTCCTATTCTTGAGGATAGCACAAACTTTCCTGAGCAGTCCTTCCTCTTATCCTTCGGAAAATTATTCTTTGTGGTACAAATGAGTTTTACCGCTAGAAAAATGAGGAAGATTCAAAGACTCACTCAAGGTTGTCTGCTGCGGCTGGGACATTCCCAATGTCGTACCTTGCTGCTGATGCTGCGTTTGTTGTAATCCGACAGTTTGTCTAAAAACCATGTTAGCATCGTTACTGGAAATTTATTAAATAAAAACTTGGAAGTCACACCTAAAAAACAGAGCTGAAGATCAAGTAACTTACAAATATTGTTGTGTGGTCATTGGTGCCGAAGACTGCACTCCAATCGCTGGCGTCTGTTGTTGAATCGTCTAAATTATTACAATGAAGTTTTCATAATAAACAAAAATTTGATTTGACATTTACCGTAGCATACGGAACAGCAACAGGGGCAGGCTGTTGCGGTATTCCAACCATCTGCTGTGGGACAGCTGTCTGAGTTGCGTACATTGTGGGTTGCGTAGTCATATAGGTGGCCTGCTGCGGAACAACTTGCGGTACAGCCGCAACTTGTTGCACTGGAGGAGCTGCTGCTGCATACGGAGCCTACGATAACAATAAGATTATTAAAAAACTTAACAACAAACGTAGATCACAGCCCTACCTTTAACGAATATGGATGACTTCCTCCCACTACAGCAGGCTGTGTATAGGCTTGCTGAGGTGCGATGTATGGAAC